AAAGGCGCCATTCCTTTTCCAGAGCAGAAAAAATAACCTTCCCAGATATTGCCTGAAGCAATCCCCAGCCATTCCCAGAGCGCTTCCAGTGAACAACTGGAGGAAAATGCCAAGAAGGCAACAAAGCGTTCAACAACAACTTCAACATCGAAATCTATTTTGCTCATCGCCAGCCGCCCTAGCATGACGTTCCCGAATGTCATCAAGACGGCGCCCGAACATCCCAATATAGCTCTGATGTATCCTATTCTGATAGAGAGGGGGCCGGCGGCAGGGGGCGAAACCCCTACGGATTAATATCACGGATCACACTCAGAGATCCGCACACGAGAACACATAACCATAACCATACACTGGACCATAATGCGACATCCACGCACGGGTAAGCATACGGACCCCATACGATGGACGCCACGACGAGTTCAGTCCACTTAAGACAACTACTCGAGACGTGCCCAACCCCTTCTCCACGCGAGGCGACTACTTGGCTCCAACAACACATTCCTGGGAAACTCGCAACAAGAAGTATATGTGTGTGTGTGTGTGTACGCCCATCGGCGACATGAGCTGTCGCGCGCGCGTGCTCCGCGGTCGCGCGCGCGAGATCCCAAGACGCCCCCCGTGGCCGCAGAATGGTTCCAAGAGGGCCTGAGGCCACAGGCGGCAACGTCCAGACGACCCTGGGATGACGCCACCCCAACACGATCCCGCCACGGATTTTGGACCGTCCCAGGCCGACTCGAAGATGATCGAACACATGAGCCACGAGTGACTCCGAGATGGCCCGATGGCAGCAAGATGGGCCCACGCGCGCAGGGTGGCCCCAGAATGACCACAACGGCTGCGCGATCCAAGCACGACCGAGATATGATCTCAAGATGTTCTCAAGTGGAACCTGACATGCCAAGGATGCTGCAACTTCGGAACCCCATCTTACCTTTAAACGATCCCAGCATGGCGGGATCCGTGGACGACCCGGAATAATTGGTTACCCTGTTTTTTTGAACGGGTGGGATTTTAGTCGGACTAAAATTAGGATATTACAGGGGGTAAGCCAGGCGGGATCCCGCCCGGCCCACGGCAGAAGACTACATTGCTAGGCTTCTACGGGGGGTAAAGGGGTTCAGGCAGGGCGTCATTTACTTCCGCTGTCTTCCGCAAACCTTCCAACGGCCTTCCACCGTCTTCCGCTTCGTTTTACTTCCATCGGCCTCCGCTAGCGAGCGACATGACGAACATTCAAGGAACCTTCATTGGGCCGATGCATACACGCTTCATACAACAGAACAGACACATCGCCACATACGCACGACCTGCGCTGCCCTCATCTCCGCCGTGCCTCCCAGCAGCCTACGACAATGGCGACAATAGCGCACTTCGTAGCCCCCCCTAAGGAACTGCGAGGTCTCGGCTGGATCCACGTGGCCCCCGACTCCGCTGGACCTCTCAGGAGCCAACAAATGTTACAACTGCGCAGTTCGCAACCACCCACGGAGAAACGACATCCCGCCTGGATGCGCATGGCCCCCGACTCCGCCGTGCCTCCTAGGAGCCCACAACAATTGCGACAATTGCGCAGTTCGCAGCCCCCCAGGGAGCTGCAACGTCCCGCCTGGGTGCGCATACCCCCCGACTCCGCCGTGCGTTTCAGCAGCCCACGAACGTGGCAACAATTGCGCAGTTCGCCACCCCCCAAGGAGCTGGGAGGTCCCGCCTGGGTGCGCGTACTCCCCGACTCCGCTGTGCCTCCCATGAGCCCACTGTCGACAATGCGCAGTTCGCAGCCCCCCCAGGGAGCTGCGACGTCCCGCCTGGGTGCGCGTACTCCCCCGACTCCGCCGAGCCTCCGCGGAGCCCACGAACCTGACGACAATTGCCCAATTCGCAGCCCCCCCCCCCGAAAGAGCCGCGAGGTCTCGGCTAGATCCACGTGGCCCCCGACTCCGCTGGACCTCCCAGGAGCCCACGAACGTGGTGACCATTGCGCAGCTCGCAGCCCCCCAGGGAGCTGCGAGGTCCTGCCTGGGTGCGCGTGGCCCCCGACTCCGCCGCGCCTCCCACGAGCCCACGACAATGGCGACGATTGCGCTGTTCGCAGTCCCTCGAGGAGCTGCGAGGTCCCGCCTGGATGCGCGTACTCCCCGACTCCGCCGTGCCTCCCAGGAGCCCGCGAACGTGGCTACACTTGCACACAGTTCGCAGCCACCCAAGGAGCTGCGACGTCTCGGCTGGATCCGCGTACTCCCCTACTCCGCCGTGCCTCCCAGGAGCCCGCGAAGAAGTAGGAGGGAGGAAGAGGTAGGAGTTAGCAGCAGGGAGGACACAGGACGCACAGGGCAGGAAGTATGAGGCAGGAAAGAAGAGGGAAGGAAGAGGAGAAAATACCACAATGCTTTATTCAGAACGTGAACCCAATACCGGAAGGTTGGGAATAACACTACTCCGACGATCGGACCTCGCATGCTATGTTTTAGCTTACCTGGAGATATCTTGCTGCCCTCTCCTCCTACCCCCTCCTGCCTCCTACTTCTCCTCTTGCCTGCTCCTCCTGCCTCATCCTCCTCCCCATACCTCCTCCTGCCTCCTCCTTGGGCATCCTGCATCCTCCTGGGGCCGCCTGGGGCATCCTGGAACACCCCTGGAGCCTCCTGGGGCCTCCTGGAGCCTGGAGCCTTCTGGGGCTTCCCTCTGTACTCCTCCTCCTCCTGCTTCCTCCTTCTCCTCCTTATCCTACTTCTCCTCCTTCTCCTCCTCCTCGTTCTGCATCCTCCTTGGCCTTCCTCCTCCTCCTCCTCCTCCTCCTCCTCCTCCTCCTTGTCCTTCTCGTCCTCCTCGTCCTCCTTGTCCTTGTCCTCCTCCTCCTCCTCCTCGTCCTGCCCCCTTCCTGCCCCCTCCTGCTTCCTCCAGGGGCCTCCTGCCTTCTCGTGGGGCGTCCTGGGGCCTCCTGTTGCCTCCTGAGGCCTCTGGTGTACTCCTCCTTCTCCTCCTCCTCCTCCTCCTCCTCCTCCTCCTCCTCCTCCTGCCTCACTCTCCCCCTCCCGCTCCACACGAAGCTCCCGCTCGAGGCGCCCTCCGGATGCATGGCCCGGGAACCCAACACTGACGACACTCGCCTGTTCTGGATGCCCCGCTCGGGTTTGTAACACGATCCGGCGGCTCCACGGGGAGGCGGGGGAGGTAGGGGGGGCTCCCGCTCGAGACGTCCTCACGCTTCACTGGGAAAGAAGCTCCACGCTCGAACGTCCTCCCGGCTCATGCCTCGGGAGCCCAGACGTGACGGCAGTGAATAAGTTTTGAGCGATCCGCTCAACAGTGTAACCCGATCTGGCGGCCCCATCGGGAGAAAGCTCCCGCTCGATGCTGCCTCACATGTTCATCCAGAGACGGCGATCCTGCCCGAGACGACCTCCAGATTCACGCTTCAGGAACACAACAATGACGACACTTGCAGGTTTTGGACGACCCGCTCAGGTTAGTAACATGATCTGGCGGCCCCGTAAGAAGGGGTTCCCGCTCGAGAGTTCCTAACACTTCACTGAAAAACGATGCTCCCGCTCGAGGGGTCCTTAAGATGACTGTGTGAGGATGTGTGTGTTTGTGCATGTGTGTGTGTGTGCGCGTGTGAATGTGAATGTGCATGTGAATGTGTATGTGAATGTGAATGTGATGATGGTGACGGACGATCATGGTGGGACAGTGGTAGTGTTGACGATGGTGTGATGGCGATGCTGGGTGTGAGCGAGGGGATGGGGGAGGAGAGGGGGTTGTGAGGTTCTATCCTGCGCGGGGTGTTCGCAAGAATTAAGAACCCCACTCAAGATGTGGCCACCATTCATATCCTTGGTTACCCGGGACGTACCCAACCCCTTCTCCACGCGAGGCGAATATTTGTATGAGCGCTACATACAAACATGATCAATCGCCATATCTGCACGTTCTGCGCTGACCTCATCTCCGCCGTGCCTCCTAGGGTCCTAGGGTCCCACGGTCGTGGCGACAATTGCGTAATTCGTAGCCTTCCTAAGACTCGCGAGTTCTCGACTGGATCCGCGTGACCCCCGACTCCGCTGGACCTCCTAGGAGCCCATGAAAGTGGTGACGATTGCGCAATCCGCAGCCCCCGAGGAGCTGCGAGATCTCGGGTACTCTGCAACTCCGCCGTGCCTCCCAGGAGCCCACGAAAGTGGCGACAATTGCGCACCACGTAGCCCCCAAGGAGCTGCGAGGTCTCGGGTACTCCGCCATTCTGCCGTGCCTTCCATGAGCCCATGAACGTGGCGACAATCGTGCAGTTCGCACCCCCCCAAGGAGCTGCGAGGTCTCGGGTACTCCGCTACTCCGCCGAGCATCTCAGGAGCCAGCGAAAATGACGACAATTGCACAGTTCGCAACTACCAAAGGGGCTGCGAGGTCTCGGATGCTCCGCTACTCCGCCGTGCCTCCCAGGAGCCCGCGAAAGTGGCGACAGTTGCATAATTCGCATCTACCCAGGGAGCAGTGCAAGAGGAGGTTGGAGCAGGCAGGCGTGTAGGAGAAGGGAGGTGGGAGGAGGAGGTGTCGTGCAAGCAGTGCTCTATCCAAAGCTAGAACCTAACGCAGGAGGGTTGGTGAACAAACAACAGTACATGTATATAACGGACATAATCAGAAATCTACACAAAAGAAATAATAAGGAGTTCATGCGCTTGAAACCAGTTCGTATCATCGGAAACAATACTAATTCCACACACACACAGAAAGCCGTACATATGAAACCAAAACAAAGTCCATACACTGGGAAACCATACTACATCGAGATGACTGGAACCACAAAAAACTCCATACCGAGGGAACACGGAGAAAACACTACACTGGAAAACGTTCGACATCATCACATACAGGTTAAACAATAGAACATCAACGGTTGGATTTTTCACTGGACTTCTCATTCCCCAGGCTCCCAGTGTGCGAAAGCACTCGGCAGGTGGGCGTTGCCCAGACCTCCCGAACGACACGCCACTTCAGCAGACCGCGAGACCGGAGGGGCGCCTGGGGTCCAAAGCAGGTGCGGGGAGAATGACTCCCTCGGCCTCCAGGCCTCCAAGCCTCTGTGGGTAGATCTGATTGTGTCTGCGTCTGCGCCCCAGATGATTGCGGATCTGCAATGGTCTCGTCAACGACGTCCGTGGCGACAGTGCGCACTCCAGGCGCCGACTCGGACACACCGTCTCCGCGCTCCAAGCCTGTCCGCGAAAAACGAATACGCCGAGCCCTTGTGGGTCTCTAAGCGTGTGGGATTGTTCCCCCCCCATAATCCGCCCCCCCCCGGGGACTTCAAACCAGCAGTTTGACCCCCCCCCGCCCCGGGTGGCCCCCCGGACCGGACTCACCCGGGGCCCGGACCGAACTCACCGGGGGGGGGGGTTCCGGCCCTCCCCAGGCTCCCCTTGGAGCGCCAAGGCAGCCTGCGAAGAGGTCCCCCAGATGGTCCAAGATGGCCCCGACTCGCCGAAACATCGCTCCAAGCCCCCCAAGATGGCCTCCACACGGCTCAAGATGCTTCCAAGATGCCCCAAGAGGCCTCTGACAGCCTCCCCCAGAGGGCCGTCAGAAGCCAACATCGTCCCACTCCCTTCGAAAAACGTATATTTTTAGCAGATTCGCCTCTGGGGCTTTCACTACATTCTAGGCGGGCCAGGTAGCCCCCACGAGGGCTCCAGGACGGCCCAAGATAGCCCCAAGACGGCCAAGGACGGCCAAAGGAACCCCAAGCCGGCCGAAGAGGGCCCCCTAGGTTGTCCCAAGAAACACCTACTAGAAGCCCCAAGGGGCCCCCCGGGAATCCCAAGAGATCCTCAAAAAGGCCCCCGAGACTTCCCCAGGAGACCCCTCAGAGGCCCAAAAACTGGCTCCAACATGCCCCCAATAGCCCTCTCACGAGATCCCATCAGCCATCCGAAGCGCCTCAAACCCACAACCCCGTTCGCGGTCCGGGTACCCGCACTCTGTCTCCAGATCCAAGGTGAAACCGCGCGCTCTGGGGGTGCCGGGGTCGTCCCGAACGGCCTCCGGAGGCCTAAGCTCACGCCCGCAAACCAGGTCCTCACTTTTCCTCCTCCACCTTTTCCCCCTCCTCTTCCTCCTTGTCCTCCTTCTCTTCCACCCCCTCCTCCTCATCCTCCGTCACCTCCGCATGCCCCTCCTGCTCCTCTTCGCCCCTGCGGCCCCGAGCATCGGCCCAAGGCCCCAGGACAGCAATGGAGGGTCCCAGACTAGATCCAGGCGTCGGCGGATGCCTATATAATCGCTGCAGTACTGTCGGGGACGGTCGTTTTGCCCAAACCCTGGATATCACCTGCAGAGAAACACGAGGAAGAAGGTTGCTCAGGTGGAAGGCGCTCTCTACCACGACCTTCATCGCAGCGGAGCCCAGAATGAAGAGATAGATGCTCAAGAGCAGGAGAACAACGTACACGGCGCAAACCATAAAAGCGAAGAGAATATGATAACAGATCACGAGAGTGAGCGTAAGGACGTGCATCACTTGTGGTAGCGCCCACCCCGCTGAGGATTGCAGCCTGGTTCTCCTCACGTCAGCTGTAGGTGAGGATGGTGGTACAGAACATCCAGAAGGTGGCCATTGTCCAGATTCTGACGACGGCGGCGAAATGCATGAACACTCCCGTCACGGGCACGCTTGGGTCGTCTTCTGGCGGGTCCGCTAGAAGCCCAAGCTCCATTGGAGGCATGGTGTCCAGGATGTGGTGCAAAGGGGGAGGCGTACACATGTTGTGAACCACGTCGTCGAGGTCGGCGATGAAGAATAGCCCAACAATATTGAGGATTCTGTCGTCTGTTTCGCTCCGGACGATGTGGCCCGATCCAATAACAGCAATGGCAGCTACGATGCATGCCCGCACAATGATGAAGAGCAGCAAGCACAGTGATCGGTACCAGAAGGGAATACTTCCTGTGGGCCTCCAGAGCACCGTGGGCACGCCATAATGGTCTTTGTACTTTTTCTGCACCTGCTTCAACGAGCCGTGCAATATCCCGCCCTGAGGGTACTCACGGAGCCAAAGGTAAGATCGAATCAAACCCATGAGTCTCCTGAAATAGCAGACGTCGCCAGTATGCCAACGCACAGGAACGTCAACACCGACGGCTCCACGCACGAGACCTCGGTCTCTGCGACTACCTGGTGCACCTACAGGGCATAGGAGCCCTGCAAGAGAGCGGTCCCTATTGCCAGAACCCAGATGAGCACCACGATGGCAACCATAGAAACTGAAAAATGTGGGACAAGAGAAGGAGTGTAGGGAGCCCACAAAGGACGTACGCGCCCAGCTATGTACATGAACACGGCCCCTCGATCCGCGAGACCGGCCGCGTTATACAAACATTTGCGCAGTGCGTACTCTCGAAACCAGCGTGGATTCATGTACATGTACGTCCTTCTTTCGCTCCTGAGAGTGGGGATAGCCGCTGGCCAGATGGTACTGGACAGGTCGGCCTGCCAGTGTTCGAGGCCAGGCCGGTCAGCAGAGCGGACAAACAAACAACTTCCTCCTCGTCTGCGTCAGCCGTGGGGCGCGACTCCTGCCGTGAGAGGGACATCGCACGCGTTGAAGGCTGCCCCGCCCTCGGCACCTGGATCACGAACCCTTGAGCCAAACTGGTTACGGATAACATCAACGTTTGGAACCAATCTGACATCCATACGGTGGAAACAAACAGGAACCCAGACAGGGGAGAGCAGAAAGAACATTCGGCCGGCGGAAACCAATGGAACGCAATGCAGTGGAACATGCGCAGGAATCCATGCAATGGAAAGCAATCAGAAATCGATGCTGGAGGGAAACGCTCAGTAACCCACAGTCCGGAAAACGATAAGAAATCCATGCACTTGAAAACAATGAAATCCGCCACCGTGCCTCTGGGCACGGAGTGGGCGTCCTCAGGTCCGTTGCGTAATCCTTGGAGCCTCAGCCCTCACTCCTGAGGAGTCTGCGAGGGACCCGCACTCCAACTTCCGAACTCTCCCGGGGCTTCCCGCGTGCCCCCTGGACTCGGGGAAGCGTTGGCGCATGACTTTTTCGGGCCCGAGAGTGCCCGAGGACGGGCCAAGAGGGCCCCCAAGACGGTCCAAGAAGGCCCCCGAGTCGCCGAAAAAACGTTCCGAGACGCTCAAGACGGCCTCAAGAGGACCCCAGAGGCCTCCAAGACGCCCCAAGAGGCCTCCCAAGAGGGCCCCCAGAGGCAACAATCATTGACCTTCGTTCGCTTTTTCAGCGGTTTTGGTGGCGTTCTCGCTTTTTCGGCTTTCCGACGCTTCAAGACGGCTCCAAGACGGCCTAAGACCTAAGAGCGCCCCAAGACGGCCTGAGAGGGGCCCAAGGCGGCCCAAGAGGGCCCCAAGGCGGCCCAAGAGTGGGCCCAAGAAGAAGAACACGAACTGAATATCCGAGGCCCTAGAGACCCCAAGAGGCCCCCAGGAGGCCCCAAGAGGCGCCAAGGAGGCCCCAAGAGGCTCGAGTGCCCTAAGAGACCCCAAGGGGCCCCCAAGAGGCCCCAAAGAGGCCCCAAGAGGCCCCAAGAGGCCCCAAAACGGCCCCCAAGAGGCCTCCAAGCTACCTCCGAGAGGCCCCCGAGAGACCTCCCGCGAGATCACACCCAACATCCACGAGGCTTCATACCCACGACCCAGGCACGGTTGCGGGATGGGCCGAAGGCCACGAGACATCCGCCGCCCCCTGCTGGCTTGCCACAGGGGTGCCCAGCGTGCTGGACGTTCTCAAGAGTTCGTGGTTCTTTTAGAACTTCCCGTGGGCCTTCGGCACAGCGCGCCGGAAACCCAGAACACCTGGTTCAAAATGTTTTTCCTGCACCAAATGACTCGAAGATATCTCAACATACGGCCAAGATGGTCTCCAGGATCGCTCGAGATTGTCCAAGATAGCCTCCAAGACGGCAAGCGAATGTGCCTCGGCCGATTTTGACCGCCAGCGCTGTCGTCGTCATCATCTTCTCAAGAGCATGGCCGATGCCAATATTTCATCTCAATCATTTCAATCAGTATCCTGTGACCCTCCAATAATGTTCCCACCCATCGTAGTTCTCAAACTTACCGATCCTCACCCATGTTGCCCTCATCCTTTGACTTACCATTCTCCTCCTTGTCGTACCCATTCCAAACGCGCCCTCATCTACGTTACCCTCTCCATTTCCTCGTACCCTGTTCGTCCTATCCTCATCCATGCTCTCCTCATCCTCGCCCGTATCTTCCGCAACCTATATCCTCCCCATATTCCCCAGGCGAGCTCAACATGCCGCCCAAACATACACACAACTTTCTAGCAACATGTCTGGTTGCCCTTGCGTGTCGACGTCTGGGAGCGGTGTGCGTGTGTGTGTGTGTGTGTGTGTGTGTGTGTGTGTGTGTTGCACTCTGGGGGTCTTCCACTGCAAGCGGCCTCCAAGGATGACCGAAAGTAACAAAGCATGAGGAAGCGCCCAAATCAACCCGCGAAGGACGATCCCTTGCAGTGAAGCGCGGCGAGGGAGAGCGGGCAATGACACTGTGCTGACATTGCATGTGTCGTAAACTTTTTTATTTCACAGACGATAACATAACACACGCAAGTCGCGCACGATGGCAACACGTAGCACCCTGGACGATGATGGGGCCGCAAGTCGGACCGCATCCGCAACTGCACCCTTTGTCCACTGGCCTCCTCCTCCGCCTCCTTCCGAGCGCCGCGCCTCCGCCTGGGCCGTCCATGGCCACCTCGCGCACAAGGGCTCGTGTACCGCCCCCCCGCCCCCCTCAATCCGGGCCAAGACTGCCAAAGGAGGTCCTGTGCGAACGGCGGTGCAAGAAGAGGGTCGGCGAGCAGTGGGAGAGGCAACTGCATCAGCATTGCCGTGACCGCACCCCACGTTCCACTGTCTGCCGACCCTCCTCCTCCATCTCTTCTTCTTCTTCTTCTTCTTCCTCCTCCTCCTCCTCACCCTACTCACCAGCGCCAACCCTGCCCGCGGCCATCGACCCTGTAGCACCTATCGCCGTGACTCCTCCTCCTCCTCCTCCTCCTCCTCCTCCTCCTCCTCCTCCTCCTACCCCCTCCTGGAACCCTCCCTGGCCCCCCCTGAAGCTCGGCGGAAGCCCCTGAGACCATCGGCAGACCTCCTCCTTGCCGCTCTTCCCCCCCCTGCTCCTCGACTTACTTGCCCAGCCACGAGGGGGCCCCCGTCGAGTGACACACGCATCCACGCCGAGGGAGGGCAGGAGCACGGAAGGAGCGGGCTACCCGCTCCCCAAGGGCCCCGAAACTTCGCGCTCCGCGCTGCGCGAAGCGCGGAGCGCGAACAACTTCGCGCTCTCGCGCCGCCTCCCAGGGGAGAAGAGGAGGACGAGGAGGAATCGGAGCCGAACCGCGCGGCGCGAGGCGCGAATCACTCCGCGCCCTCGAGGGCGCCCCTGCTCTCTGGCCTCGCCCGCCCCCTCTGCTCCTCGACCCCGCTCCTCCCCCTCCTGCCCGTCGGCCTGCGCGGGCCTCATGGCGGGCGGCGTCGCGTGCGCGCGCGCGGCTGGACGGGCCGAGGGCGTGCCGCTGCGGAAGTGGCCACTGCTGAGGAGGAGGAGGAGGAGGAGGAGGAGGAGGAGGAGGAGGCGGAGAAGGATGGGGGGAAGGAGGAGGATGAGGAAGAAGAAAAGGAGGAGGAGGAGGAGGAGGAGGAGGAGGAGGAGGAGGAGAAGGAGGGGGAGGAGGAGGAGGAGGGTGGAAGAAGGAGAAGGAAGATGAAGAAGAGGAGGAGAAAGAAGATGAGGAGGAGGAGGAAGAGGAGGAGGGGGAGGGGGAGGAGGAGGAGGAGGAGGAGGAGGAGGAGGAGGAGGAGGAGGAGGAGGAGGCTGGCAATGGCACGGTCAACGAGAACGACAAGGACCTCCCTGCGCCGTGGAGAGCCGTCCCGGCACACTTTTCTGCGCGTCTCCTGTGCAATTTAACTTGGGCTTCGGTAGCCAATGAATTAGAATCAAGGGCGGTAACTTTAAGGCCCCCGCCGTGATGGAAGCACGGAATCGGAGCTGTGGGAGCCTTGTAACAAGCGGCTTCGGTGCGCCGCCATCATGATTGACAGAAACAATCATTGCTGTAGTGGTCGTGCCCACCGTCGTCTGACTTACCAGTATCATCGTTGCAATCATTCAGCTGCTAAGTTGTTCGCTGCTGTGCTATCACCCAACTCTTCTTGATGTCGTCACACATGCCTCTACTACTACTACTGCTACTACTACTGCTGCTGCTACTACTACTACTACTACTTCTTCTACTACTACTACTACTACTACTACGACTACTACTACTACTACTACTACTACTACTACTACTACTACTACTACTACTACTACTACTACTACTACTACTACTACTACTACTACTACTACTACTACTACTACTACTACTACTACTACTACTACTACTACTACTACTACTACTACTACTACTACTACTACTACTACTACTACTACTACTACTACTACTACTACTACTACTACTACTACTACTACTACTACTACTACTACTACTACTACTACTACTACTACTACTACTACTACTACTACTACTACTACTAACTACTACTACTAACTACTACTACTAACTACTAACTACTAACTACTAACTACTAGCTACAAACTACTAACTACTACTACGACTACTACTACTACTACTACTACTACTACTACTACTACTACTACTACTACTACTACTACTACTACTACTACTAACTACAAACTACAAACTACAAACTACAAACTACAAACTACAAACTACAAACTACTACTACTACTACTACTACTACTACTACTACTACTACTACTACGGCTACTACTACTACTACGACGACTACTACTACCACTACTACTAATACGATTACGGCGACGACGACTACTACTCCTATGACTCCTACTACAACAACAACTACTACTACTACCACTACTACTACTACTACTGCTACTACTACTACTGTTACTACTACGGCTACGGCTACTACTGCTACTGTTACGACTGCGGCTGATACGGATACGCCTGCTCTAAGA